CCAGTGTCCATGCACAGGGCCAGCTGCATGTTGACCCTTCTGGACTTGCTTGTTTACAGCCCTGTGAAGCCTGGCCCCACAGAGTGTTTCCTGACAGATCCTCAGCTCCCTGGCAGACCTTTGGGCTCACTCACGGTGAACATGGTAGTAGGTATAAAGGTAAGGAAACCAGGGGATGGCAGCAAAGAGGGCTTGAGTTGCTGGCTGATGTCTTGAGCAGCCTTAATAATGAAGCTTGAAAAGGGTTGTGTCCAAAATTTTAAACAAATACGCACTATTGTGCCTGATACAGATACATAATTATAATCAGCTTATTCAGGGATTGGTAGTATTCATCATTGGTACTATTGTAAATTTGTACTGTTGCAGATAGGAGTCACACAGCTTGGGGCCTTGTACCTTCACCTATTGTTTTCCCTGTGTTATGATAAATTTTCAGCAACACTTGATTAAAACTGCCAATTTGTTGGGTATAAAGAAAATCTCTCGACACTACCAGGACTAATTACGTTGTCCTTGCCAAAGGGGTAGTTGAATAATTGCATGCGATTATTGCACAGCTATGGTGCTTTTCATGTCAGTGGCAATGCAATGAAGATTGATTCCTTTTAATTAATCATTCAAAAATAACCCCTCGCATCATTCCCCAAATAGGAGCAAATATGTTCCTACATCTTTCTTCCGAAAGGCTCCTGTATGCAATTGGTTCCCTGATGAGATAGCACTGCAGTGCATGTGTGCATGTCCTAGATAGGAGGGCCTGCTTTGTAATTATTTCGTGATCCATGTCTTCTTATTCTATCATTTATACTTGAATATGCTTTATAATTTTGATAGCCACAAACATAAGAGCATAGCAGGAAAAACTAACTTTTACTAATTGAACTCTGGACAATTCATGAAAGAGTGTCACCAACTCTGATCTCATTTATATTTTCCTACTATTTCCTTGTCCCTGAATCTAGTAGTCTCATGTAATCATGCAGCATTACATGGTAAAATTCTTTATTGTAGGAAAATATTGTCTCTATAAAATATTTAGAAGTCATCAGCCACATCCTGCCATAACTACAGTTCTCACTAAATATCTATATTCACAACAGAAGTTAACAACTTGTATTTATTTATTTTATATATCCATTTATACTTTATTTTCTAAAGACTATAGCATTCTCTTATAAGAAAAGTGATTTATCATTTAATTCTGTTTCTATAGTGATATTAAATTCTCAAATAAACTAATGGGATGATTATCTTTTAAATGGATCAACTACTTATAATTTTTGATGATAAAATATTTGTGCATCTTATGAAACTGTGAGGAAATGATAAATAAAGATACATATGATAATGTTTCTGAAAGATCTAAATTGTTCTAACATATTTTGTAATTTGGGACTTGGGAAAAAAAAAAAAAAAAAGGTTATCACTTTATCCACATTATAACATTATAGTGTCTGTTTGCGTCAAAACCTACACATGTGGTTTCCATAGTACTGCTAAGAAAAGGTTTATGTTTGTGCATAATTACAACAGCGAAGCTGTTATATAACTACAGGACATGCGTAAAAGTCTTTATGCACCTAAGATATCAAACCCGAATCATTGTTCATATTGTTTTATTGTACTGCTTACATGTGGTGGGTACTATTCATCACTTTGCTTGCAAGCATGTTCAATGGCAATGGCTCCTGCATGTTGGAAGACATGTGGACAACAAGGCCAGTGGGTTGTGGATTTGCAAAGTAACAACCATTTGATTTAGTAGAGGCTGCTGGGATAAGGGTGTAGGTACTGGCCAGATAACTTCAACATCCTACAATATACTGCTTATGGAGGAATACAGTACAGAGGGATTTAAAATTACCTTGTTGCCAAATACAGTCTCTAAAAAATACAGCCATAGAAAAGACTTCAAGCCACTGTTGAAAGCACAAACTAAACCACCTTTGTCTGACACAGCGGGAGTCCCTGTGAATTCAGCAGGCCAAAATCAAATGTCTGCACCTATGTATGCAGTCCTTGTCAATCACTGCAGGCAGAGGCTTGTTTGTCAGAGGGAGATTTTCTCTGTAATTGCAGACGGTCTTGGAAACTTGCAGATGCTTCTGCAAGCATCCTTGGCTTCTGGTCAGGATCCCACAGGTTCAGTACAGCCTCTGTGCATACCACACCATGAAGAAACCATCTAGAAGTGATTCTTCTTTAATGACCCCAGAGGCTAGAAGAACCTCCTGCTTTGAACCGAAGAAGGTAACAGTTTATCTCTTTACAGACACCTATGAGAATGGTTTAACCATATATAATGTATTAAATTTGTTATTGGAAACAAGTGCTTGGACATTATCCATGTAATGTCAGAAAGGAAAATAATGTTTTACTGCTCTACTTTCTAGTTTACCAAGCCATCTCTCTAGGGAACCTATTTAGTAGAAAGAAGTACACAAAAGAGAGGTAGCACTGAATGTAGATGTTATAAATTCCTCTGGGGTTTAAGAAGCTGAACCACCTATTTCATTCCTGCAAAAGCTGGTTTCTCTATATGCTGATTGCACATTCATTCTTTAATCTTTATATGTTTAAAGCTTTTTTTTAAAAAAAAAAAAAAAAATTATCCTGTAAATTGTTGAACATTTGCAACAGATATAGAAAATCACAGTTGGAAATCTGCTAACACTATGAAAAAGTAAATTGGAGCCACGGCAGGAAATAAACTTTATATATAAGGATTTGAGAGCTCACCAGAATTCAAGAGTGTATATTGTGGTAAAAGACACTGTGCTGCCTATAAACTCTGTTTTAGAAAAGAACCTCAGGTGGACTAATACACTGGCAGCAATTAATATTAGATTTGCACAGTTTATGAAGCAGAACTACATATTTTGAACAGGATTTCCTGGGAATTGGACTTATGAACACCAGAGCTGTTGACTGGGTGAAACATTTATACATATATAAATGTATATAAAATGTATATGTATTATATATATATATATAAAGCTTTCTCTTTTCTTTTCTTGTGGCACAAAGGACTGTCATGGTACAAGTTCTTACTTTTGGACCCTGCCTGCCAAATGAAGGCTTCAGATAAAATGAAAAAGCAAGCAGTCCCATTTAATTAGGTATACATTTTTGATGGAAAAGAATAAACCTCCATACCACTGCTGTGTTTCCTTCTGGAGCATGTTATTAAGACTAATAAGGCAATAGCCTCAATATAGTGACCTTAGATCATACCTCTACATGAGCTGATTCAAATTTCTTTGCATGTTTTTAGTTGTGTACAAATCTCCAAAGTGTATTTGCTTTGTTTCTGATAACCAAGATTGCTAGTGTAGCTGTAATATGAAAATTCAGGTTTGTGACAAAATATCTACAGAAATGTAAGCCAAAGCATAGAAAAAACTGCATCCTTTTTGTAGGATGAAATATGGCAGATGACGCTGTGCAAGAAGGGTTCTCTCTGCTTTGTGTAAGAGAACTCGAGTATGCTGTTCACATCTTGAAGATTTACTTCCATGATACTACATTCCTTGATAGCATAGAATGTGAGTAGTTCATGGTGCCTCTTATAGATATTCTCATCTCACTAACATGAGCATGACAGAAGTGCAATTTTCTGTATTCTACAGTGGGGGATCTGTTGCTCAAAAAGATAAGTGACTTGCTTTAGGTCACTTAGCAAAGTTGTTGTAGATCAAGGCTTTGTGTTCAGGTACCACAAGTCCTGGACCTACAACTTTTCTTGTTCTCTTTTTGACCTCATAAATTTTGGTTTGCCCTGTTAGTAGCCTAATACACATAAAAGTGGCAGCTAACACCTCTAGCCAAGCCATTCTTCCCCATGTGGACAGCAAAATCTCTTGGTCATTGGAAATGCCTGAAATGGGAATGGGATCATGCTCCCACTTCATCCCTTTATGATGTTTTAATGATCTGATTACCTTTTACATTCTGATTGTTGTGCTGTAGCAAGTGCTACTGGGGCAATGAATATGCTGGATTTTTCCACCAAGGTTAGATATCTATCTGTTTCATCTTCAGATCATGACAGAATAAGAGAAGCCAAGGATTAACTTTCACAAATAAAGAATGCTTTACCTATATAGTCACTTACTTGCTTTCTTGCATCCAAAAAAAAAAAACAAAAAAAAACCAAAAAAAAAAACCAGAATAAATAGGAAAACACCTATTGAATTAACATATGAAAAACAAATGGATTTTCTCTATCACTTCTTTGGACTAAGATGTCTCTAATTTTTTGCAAAGATGAATTTTAGGTGCCAAAGCAAGTGCACAGGAGTGAAGAAAAAGCAGTTTAAAAGCTGGCTATACTTTCTCTGATCATCCTTGTATCTACATTTATTAAGAGAATGACAGAAAGTAAAACTCTTCTACATTTGCTAATAAAAAGAATTTGGCAGCTGTGACTGAAAGGTATTTTCAAGTCAATTAGATCAACATTTTTCTTTGGAAAGTGCAATGTACATGGCTGATAATGACATAAAATATCTATCTTTTGACCCTTTATTTACAACATTGTGCCAAGTTCTAAATGTAATATAACTCTTAGCTTTTGGTACTAGACTTGGAATTACTCCCAAGCAAGATATGACTCTAAATTTGCCACACTGATGTGTATTCACTGAGTTCAATTAAATAATTCCTGGTTTACACACCCACATGTGAGGTCAGAATCAAGAGAGCAGTTCAAGTGAAAAACCTAAAAGATGGCTGAGGTATATTGTGGGACAACCACATTAATAAAAAGGTGTATATATATATATATATATGTATATATATATATATATACCTTTTTAATATATATACCTTTTTAATATATATATTTATTAAATATATATATATTTAATATATATATATATACGTGTGTGTTCGGGACTTAAAGATACCTCAGTTTCACACAGGTATAGCCAGCTCTCTGTGTTGTGGGAATGTTCTGCCTTTTTCATTTCTGGGGAACTGAAGTACTGAATGTACAATACTTACCCTTATCTTTCCTCCCTGACAGCAAAGGAATTCTACCCGTGTGACATGTCATTTGAAACTAGCAGACAGCATTTCTTGGCTGCACTGTGTCAGTCAAATAACTTGGAAGGTAAAATTCACTTTACCATTAACTTTTTAATCTCTTGTTGTTTTTTTTTTTGTTTGTTTTGTTTTGTTTTGTTTTGTTTTGTTTTTTGAAAGACCCATAATAGAGTCACAAAATATCTTGAGTTGGAAGGAACCTACAAGTATCATAAAGTCCAACACCTGGGTTCCCAAAGGACCACCCAAAAAATCAGACACTATGTCTGAGAGCATTGTCCAAACACTTCTTGAACTCCAGCAAGCTCAGTGTTGTGACCACTGCCCTGTGGAGCCTGTTCCAGTGTCTGACCACCTTCTCAGTGAAGAACCTTTTCCTGATATCCAGCCTGAACTGCTCCTGAGCCACCCCGAACCACCCCGTTTGTTTTGTTGTTGTTGGTGGTGGTTAGTTGGTTGGTTTGTTTCTAACTGCAGAATGCTTTTTTATTTTATTTTATTTTATTTTATTTTATTTTATTTTATTTTATTTTATTTTATTTTATTTTATTTTATTTTATTTTATTTTATTTTATTTTATTTTATTTTTACACCACATAAAGGTAAATAAGAAACTGTGAGAGAACCTGTTCAACAAAACTTTGTAGGAGTGATCAGGCTGGCTACAACTCTGACTAAAATTACAGAATAATAAAACAATGAGTGAGGATTATGATAGTAGCAGGTGTTTTAGTAAGTTGAGAGCTTATGGGTGAGAGTCAAAGACTGCACCAATAAATGATGGTTTGTGGTCGGGGTCTACTACAGGCCACTTGATCAAGGGAATTTGTGGATGAGGCCTTCTTGTTTCAACTACAAGATGCATCACACTCACACACTCTCATCCTGATGGGAGACTTCAACCACCCAGATGTCTGCTGGGAAAACTACACAGTAGGCTGTAAGCAATCCAGGAGATTGTTAGAGTGTGTTGAGGATAACTTCCTGGTCCAGGTATTAGACACACCAACCAGAGGACAAATGCTACTGGACCTGGTGCTCTGCAGTGTGGAAGAGCTCACTAAAAGGGTAAAGACTAGAAGCAGTCTGGGCTGCAGTGACAATACACTGGTTGAGTTTGTGATCTCCAGAAATATGGGACAGGCAAAGAGCAAAATCAGGACCCTTTATTTCTGAAGAGCAAACTTCAAGCTATTTAAAGACCTAGTAGATTCTGTCAATGCCGCATCCCTGGGGGTGTTCAAGACCAGGTTAGATAACCTCCTTGAGCAACCTGATCTAGTGGGTGGCATCCCTGCCCATGGCAGGGGGGTCGAGGTGATCCTTGATGTTCCTTCCAACCCAGGCCGTTCTATGATTCTATGGTAGTAACACTAGGCATGACATTTTGATGATGCAACATCAAAAATCTGGATGCTGCAATACGTACTTGGAGCAGAACTTGGTTCAGCTCCAAGAGCATGTCACTTGGAGCACGTTACAGGCAAAGGCATGATGTATAGCTGGTTTAATGAAGGGAAAAAAATGACCTTAGAGAAATGTTGCGGTTCTGAGATATTTCTGCAAGAAGTTGTTTGACAAACAACTGACTTCGGAGTAGATTTCAAGACTGCAAGATTTTGCAGAAAGGATATTTGAAGTGAGCTTCTATGACAGATTTAGGAATCATCAAATCAAATGCTCATAATTATACTCCAAATGCGCTATTTAAGACAGTACAGGTGTACAGCTGCAAACTTATTTTTGCAAATATAATTTTACGCCTCTACCGAGTCATCCACTATCAAGCTTCAGCTTGGGAGACCTAGACCAATGGTGCAATAGATGGCATTTAAGAGAATGTGGTTCAAAAATTCCTATGCCAGAGCTGACGTATCTGTGAGAGATAGTGTGGCCTGTTCAGAGATTTTAGCCCCAGATATAGGTGCAGTAATTCTAAATTACCTCTGTAGACTCCCTGTTGCATTTTCTGTCTCTGGGCACAGGTGGGTAAGTTACCCAGTACCAGACTGATCCCACTCTGATGTTGCCAATTCCCAAGCATCAAGAAAGCTAGAGGTGAAACTAAAATACAGCCTTTCTGAGATAGGGATAAATTCTTTTTTTGAAGAAGAGCAGACTAGACCAGAAAATAATTAGTAATAGTAATAGTAATAGTAATAGTAATAGTAATAGTAATAGTAATAGTAATAGTAATAGTAATAGTAATAGTAATAGTAATAGTAATTAATAGTAACAGTAACAGTAATAGTAATTAATAGTAATAGTAATAGTAATAGCAATTAGTCATTAGCCTGAGATTTCACAGTGGCACAGACAAGAATAGGATGTAGTGGATATCATCATGTTGGCTCTCCAATTCTCCTATTAGGTCGTATATATATATACATATATATACACACACACACAACAAGAACTGATATTTACACAAAACTGATATTGTCAAGAAGGACTTAGTCACTACATCATAAGTCTGCGTGTGACCCTGTACCTAATTCTCATGTTACTGTGCTGAGAAAAAGTGCTATTTACAGGTGAGCATTATTTCCATGTTGAGAAAGAAAAGAATCATAGACTTGGTAAAATGGAAATACTGTGAGTAGATGAATTTTTTTTATAAAGAGACGTGAACAATAAACACACTGCAGCAGCTGTAACACTGTTTTGTAAGATGACTACAAAAAGAAAATAAGCTGAACATAGGAAAATCTTATTTGGGAGTAATAAAAGCTTGTATTCTACAGAGCATTGTTTTTCAAAGTTTAAAAAGAAAACATCTGGCAGTAATTTTTCCATAGATAGTTTGTCATCTAGCTATTTGAATCTTAGAACACAATTAAATATAAAGGAATATTACCTTATGCAGGATGGTTGAAATTATACCATTTCTGGCTGAGGGTATAATCATGAAATTCCTTATTTAATTACCACCTGCATTTATCCAACTGTTTAAAATTAGAATCTAGCACTACCTATTGATTTCCTATTGATGGATATCATCTATGCTCTAATAAAATTACACTCTTTCAAAAATCTACCAGCAGAGACCTTTATAACATATGACATGGTTTAAACATACTTTATTTTACACCACAGAGAATTTGCATTTCATCTCTCAGCCTCTAACAAAGCTGCTGTAAATGATTTAGCTTGGCTTTTAGATTTCAGTCATTTCATTTCAATTTGGGCTCACTCTTGTATAATTCCTAGGTTTTGTTCAACCAAATGAAGACTACTGACACTTAGCATGTGGAATAACATGTCAAAAAATGGGATGCTTAAATTCATGGTTTGTAGATTTTGTACAGATGTGAAATAAAGTATTTTATGCATGCTAAAATCACAGTAAAATGTAAGTGAAACCTAATTGTAAAATGCAAATGAGGCGTAATTGTTTACCATGCACTTGTATTTGAAATCCTACTGTGTAATGCATGGCAGAACATTTCTAGGCTATGTCAGAGCTCCAAAACAGAGTCCAAAATACTTTGGCTGTAACAAATACCTTGATTGTTCATGAGCCAAATGGGGAGAGCTTTTCAGATGAAGAAATGAATCTTCTCTAATAAAAATGAAAAGAATTGTCACACAGAAAATAATTAAGTAACAAAACTTTATTGTACACTATAATAGATCCAAAATGATTAATTTTGGTTTCCAGGGGAACCCCAATTTCCTATCAAGCTTATTAGTCAGGTAAGCTTTCATCCAAAATACAGTCCATGTCAATGGAAGTTATAATTCTAATTCCTGTAGAAAGCCTTCTAAACAACTAAAATGCCAAAATAATGCATCAACTAAGGCACCAATTTTTTTCTAGCACAGTGACAAGCTGGCTGCGAAATGATGTCAGAACATTTTAAAATCTGGGCTGCTAAAGACCATTTTAAGATAAATGTTGGGATACAGAGGAATAAGGGTTTTTTTTCTCCCTACACATTGCCATTCAATATATCTTATGTGTTTTCCCTGAGCATATTACATTTCTTCAAATATCATTTTTTAAAACTGGCTTTAATGTCTAACTAAAAATACGTAATTTTTCACCAACTTAAAGAATATTTATATATGTTGAGACCTGATCCTATTCTTATATTTGCATAAGCTACATTTAGACAAAATGAATCTCCTTTTAGAAAACGGAGAGAAAATTCAGCACTATATTACCAATTTCAAATTCCATTCTTGGTTATGATCAGAGTTAATCTTGGCGTCTGTACATCTGACAGGGTGCATGGTCCTGATTCTGACCATTATCATGAGCTGTTTATATAGTAGTGTAACTATCTTTCCAGTGCAACTGCTTCTTTCTTTTATCAGTGCAGGGAGTATCAGTATTATGTGCACTGATTTTTATATGGCACCCAGTTTTGAGGTAGAATAGTTAGGTGGTGTATTTTATAGAGCATTGAATATTTACCAAAAAGCAAACAAACAAACAAACAAACAAAACAAAACAAAACAAAACAAAAAAACATATAGGACTGTGGACTGTAAGATTCTTCAGTTTTCTTTCAATCAGCAACGGTTTTTTGGGCATGATTGTTTAGCCAGCCAAAATGTGGATAGTCTCTGACTTCAACAGTCAGAGAAGAGTGAAAGAAAATTTACTGACATTACTGCCACTTCACCCAGCTCTTTTTCTGAGTGAAAGATTAGCTCTGTGACTGTTAAGACACCAAAATACTTCATCTATTCCCATCTCTGTTTTATGCAAGCTTTCCAAAATACCTGAAACTTCAAGAACAGCCTGGTTCAGCCTGACACCTGTAGCAGACAGGAGTACTGTCTCATGTTTATTCTGTGCTTGTTTCTGAGGTCATACAGAATACACATTAATGTATTTAATGCAAATCTGGAGGGACAGACATTATTGAATTTATATCTGGCAACAGGTTGAACATCAATTTTCTTCCTCATCCTCTTGATCACACTATGGTTTATGCAACTGTGCAATTCCAGTGTTCTGGAATTCTCATAGAGGGAGGGGAATGGATTGACTCTGTTTTGCATTGCTTATAATTTTGAGTTTATGGGCAAATGAGTTTGCTTAATTGATGGTTTTACCTCAACTTCCCTTGAACATTGAAACCACAAGCGGATCCACTGATTTGGTTAACCACAAAATGTTTAAGAATGTTTTTCTCCCAAAATATTTTCGTTGGTAGGAATAAACTTTATTTCTTTCTTTAGTTTCATCTGCAGACCTCATTGGCGCCCTACTTATTTCATGTCTTCTGTCTGCCTGGCTTGCAAATTAGAACTAAATTCTCCCACTTGAATCGGGAGCTATACTTTGTTATTGGTCATGGCATAATGTAACCTGACATATGTAAGAACAGGGGACTCATTCTAGTACTAGAGTAGAAATATTGGTGTAAACTCCTATATGTGGAAATAGTTAATATAAAAATGCTGTATTTCTGTTGCCATATTTACTGCTATGTAGCCATGTATACATTTAAATAGCGTAGGTGGAAAACTTATGCAAATGCTTGCAACCCTCTCCGCTTTTTTTTTCTTTCTTTTTTTTTTTAATTAGGAGAAAAGGTTGTTGCAACATATTTAACTAAATCAGAGTTTCTGAAGGCATCTGAAAATGAAGCTTTTCAGTCTCCTGAATAGGTGCGAAGCACTCACTGAAAAGCCTGTGCTCTTCCTTCACTGATGTCACTGAACACTGTGGGGCAAATGGTAAGAGTATCGGCCCAATTAATTTTTTCATTATGTGTCTCACATTTTTACCTTATCCTGGGTAAAATTTTCTCAGTTCTGAGAACTTCATTTAAACTAACTTAATGCCCATTAACATATATTGCTAATAACTGTTTGGCCATTGAGAAAAAGCACATGTAAACAAATAAACAAGCATTTTGGTGGACTGCAGGGCCTTCCCTGCAGGAAAGGTGTTAAGACAAACACCCACATCCCCATTGTTATAAGTTGCTCCCTTAATTAATTTTCAGAGAGCATTGCATTAATAATAGAAAAGAATTTGAGTAAGCAACAGCAAGCAAAACAGCGCTGGGCGGCCGGGGAGTCTCAGTTCCACCAACGGCGCGCACCTCACCCCCGCCAGGGTCCCTTTTTATATCTTGGTGATTTCAGGATTACACAGCACATCCTGGTATATTCTGCAGCTGCGCGCGCTGTTGCTAGGGGGTCGTCTCTGTCCCTCTGGTGGTCGTGAAGATGAAGGCCGTAGTCTTCCTCAGCGTTGTGGTTCAACTTCTTTTTTATTTGCTCATGTTGGCCCAGCGTGAGACAGGAAGGCAGGATGTTGATACACTAGTTTAGCAACTTATCAGGAGATGGTTACATGAGCTTTGTAGCAGGGTCTTTAAACAAAAGAGGCAACTGAGATGCAGAAGGAGAGAAGGTTGGGGGTTCTCTTTTTTGTTACATTAAGCAAAAGAATTTTCATAGTGTCTAGCCAAGTATTATACAGCTCCTTACTTCAGCAGGGAGTTTTCACAACTCCTGTTCCTCAAACAGAACTCCTTGTTTTTACAAAAGACAATGAACAAACATTTATTGTGTATTACACCCATCACAGTTCTTCCAGAGGTACAGCAGACAGCACTGAAGGCTAGAGTCAAGTGTGATACACATCCTGAGTCCATCTCACTGCACACTGGTCTTTTTCTGCTGCTCTTTCTCTTTATACCAGTTTCCCCCTGCTCCAGCACCGACATCCACAGCTGCAGTCCTCCCTTGGCATGGAGGTCCTCCTGCCAAGAGTGTCTCCAGCCACGTATCTCTCAGTGTTTCTTCCCCACATGGCTGTGGCCATTCATTTAACAGCTGTGAGTTGTGGCACAAGGGTGGCAGCTTCAGGAGACACACAGATGCACCAGGCACAAACAGGAGACCAGCATACCACTCTCAACCATCTAAAGTAATTCTGAAATTCTGAGGATTTCAGTGGAAGAAGGATAATGAAATTTTTTTGGCCTCAAAGGTTAAAGCCGTGGTAAGGCCTGACATTAAAGCTTGTCCTTTTCCTTCCTGGAGCAGATACAGGGTGAGCAGACGCCATGTTAAGCTTCACTCTGGTGACCTCCTCTTCAGCCAAAGATGGTCCAAGAAAGACTACTCTGTGCAGAGGTGAGTGCGAGTTTGCTCTCCAAACCCACAGTACAGTGTGGGCTTTTCTCCCCATGAACTGGTTGGAGGCCATCAGGCTGCTTCAGATAAGGATTTGTAACATACTTCCAGTGAAAAACAGGTTCAGACCTGTGTCCTCTCAGTCACAGCTCTGGCATTTTAGGGCTTTTCACCCTATGTTGTTCTTTTCCAGTTGAAGGATTTCTTTTCTACTTTGGGCTCTTTCTTGTTCTGTGATTATCCAAAGAACATAAAGCTACACCCAGTCCTAAAAGGTCTGCTGTCCTCATGGCCAGATGTCTGTTGCATTCCTGCTACTTCATATAGACTGTCCTTCTGACTGTCATCATCATGGGTGTGTTGTTGTTGTTGCTGTTTGTTTTTACTATTTCAATTGTTATTGTTTATTATTGCAGTATCTTTATATTACTTGCTGTGCCTTCTCACCTGGGTATGCACGAGCCAATGGGCTGTATATCATCTAGGGCATTCTCTTTACAAATACCTTTTGCTTAGTGACAGATACAGTTTTAACTTAACAGTACTGTCCAAAAGTGTTTAGTGAATTACTCTGCCAATAATGCTAACTACAGACTAAGTGCATACGCCTTTGCTTTTGTGTTTGACCTACACTTAATAACCTTTGTCACTGGAAGAAGTAATGATTTCCCATTTCATTAGTGTATTTTTTTATTATTTTTCATTAACTTGGTAACAGATAAAGAGTTGCAACTAGAATGGGTTAAATATATTTAAAATGCTGTTTAATGGATTTTTATACAAATATTTGTAATTGCACTAATTACAGAGATACTTTGTCTTATTAACCTCTGTTTTAATATACATATCGAATTATTCATGTGTGAACAAAAGTATTCACTTTGTATACTAATTACTGTTTTTGACTTATTCTTTTATTGCTCTCAGAAGTTTCAGGCATCCAATTAGGATACTGAAACAATCCTTAAATACTCAGGTAATTAATCACAGACCACAAATAATGAACAACAAGTAAAGTGAACTGTGTCTAAATAATCCATTGATTTAAAATAGCCCATCCAAACTATTCATCCAATCCTTACAAATAAGGTACACTTAAAAATCAGGCCTGTGTCACAACAAATTTGAGTAAGATAAAGGGCTGCATTTTTCAGCTTATTTATTTGCAAAGAATGACATATGCAGATATAATGCAAACCTTGTCAAAAAGGATTAGTTTAATAAATTCTCTCACTTTTGAAAAATGTATAAAACAGAGATTCTCTTGTGATTGCTGAAAGCCACATTAACATGTTATTACCAAACACCTCATTGCCTAAAAATCCTAAAAAAAGTCTATGAGGTAGCAAATCTATCAATTAGTGTATACCAAACTCCACATACAGTAAAAATACAATAGCTTTGTGTGAGGTGGGTACTGCTTATATCTAAGATCATGATGTTTCACTGAGATATCCAAATGAAGAACATTATTGCTTTTCTCCTCTTTGATCTTAAAAGCCTAGATGGGGATGGTGGTGGGTGGATAGGGGTGTGTTGTTTTTTTTTTTCCATTTCTGGACCATTTAAATTCTTGTTCTAATGCTGGATAAATAACCCATGCCAATTTCTTATTTATTATTTTCATTGCTTATATTATATATATAAACATTGCTTATATATATGTATAATATATATATATATATATTTTACACTTTTTAGTGTAAAATTAGTTACACGTTTCAGAGAAAAAAAATACTAAAAGTATTCATACTGTCAATATAAAGCATTTATATTCATATTTTGTCTTCATTTTTCCCTGGCCAATACCTTTCAGAATTTGGCCCAAATTCACAGTCATGTTTGTGAATACCAGATGATCCAGAACTGTATTTCTGGTGAAAGTAATATTTACTCCAGGAACATTCCCTAAGTCTGTATGTAGATTTGTGCATATTTAATTGGAAAATTTAATATCATAAATAGCTTCTTATTAGCTATTTTACATACTTAATTTTTCCCATCTTTTTAGCTAAAAATAGTAGTAGTATTTTTGTTATGAGTTCTTATGCTGCAATAATGTCTCACCCAAGGGATGACTGAACGTCATGTGCTTGTGTTACATGTGTGTGTATATATAACAGATGACTTACTCGGTTGTATGGCAGTCAAAAATAAAATACTCTACCAATCTGTTCACCTACTGTCTGAGCTCTACTTCTGGTATGAAAGGAATTATTATATGTGTGATATGACCATTTTACCAGTTTATCTCATCTCCATAACACAAGTGTAAATCATGTCTTGGGTATTCTGGCATAATTGTGAATCTCTGTTTTCAGTTTTCCTTTGTCTTCAAAATGCTTTTGCTTCAGGAATAATACTTTCACACTTACTGAAATTGCTCATTACAAGTGCATTGAATCATCAAGCTTTAAGTTAAGAGAGGGAACAATAACATTAATTCAACAACTTTAATGATAAAGATGACAAGTACCATTTTTTCATAAGATGTGTATCTCTCAATAATTTATTAACATATAAAACAAACCCCACAGATATATGTGCACATGCTCCCAGACCAGAACAGCACTTCTGCATAGACCTAATTATAAACATGTGAGTGGTACCTTTGATTTGAATTGGACTACTCGCATACTTAAATTTAAGCATCTGTTTAAGTACTGTGTTTAGAACTGCAGTCATAGAAGTGAGGATAAAACCCACAGAATTTCACTCAGTCCCTAGTAAAGCTAGTAAGACTCTAGCCACTGCCTATGGTGAGATTGGATCAGATCCAGCCATGGATGAAGTGCTCAGCATGAGAAAGCCACTGAAATGTGCAAAGCATTTGTAACTAAAAACATATCTGAAGGGAAAGGACATTTTCTGACATGTAAGCATGAGATTGTGCTGAATCTGTGACACTGAAAGACTATTATCTATATTCATGTATTATCTGAGGAAAAAGCAGCCATCGTGGGAGTGAGGCCTGCAAGTTTATGCGGGAGAGAGAAAACTTAAAAAATGAGGCTGTGCATTGCATTTAGGGAGTAAAAATAACAAGAGAAAGCCACTTTTCTTTAAATCACTCTGCATCAAGTATATGTTTGAGGTGTTTTGTTTTCTTTTCTTTTTTTTTTTTTTTGCCAGTTGAGCGATTTTTAAGGTATTGCTGAATACTGAGTAATATGACATTCAAGTACTAAATGTGAAGTCATATTTTTCAAGCATAACACCCTCAGGTAGCTGTTAGCTGTCTCTGGAAGACAAAATTATTTTGCAGCCTGCTCCTTGAGGACTATCTTTAAACAAATTGGATATTTCACTGGGATTGTTTTCTGCCTCCTGGCTGCCAGGAATGACTGTACTCTTATTGTTCTTCATATGATGAAGTAATCTGAAAAAAAAAATGTACAAAAAAGTAATCACACAAAAATTTATATTGAATACATGAGCAAAGACTCATCTATGTCTCTCCCTGAAAGCCATCTTCCCTCTTTCTTATCTTCACACTTCATCCTTCCTTGTCACGTCTGGTCACTTTTTTTGTCAGAGTTTTATCATCTGCCACTTCAAATCCTTTATGGTCACTAAACAGGGCTATTATTCTACAAATTATTTAATCTTAGAAAATATGTTTGCCCCACAGAAGAAAGTTCAACTCATTTAAGTGCAGTTTCCCTCACCACAGATTTATATATTAATTTTACACCAGTGAATTATTTCTGAACAGTCAGAATACACAAATGCTCTAAGCATTAAAATGACTTCAGAAATGGCCTATGTAAAAGAAAATCAAGTGTGATGAATTCAAGAAAATTTGATACAAGTTCCTATCATCCATTGGAGAGTTGGTCTCAGAGGAAGGAAAATAGTTGTCATATAGCTGTAAAAGATATAAACTCTAATGTTCTCATTTTCCATAACTGTATCACTGTGTTTTACATTTACGTCACTATTACTCCAAATTTCCAAGTAATATTTTGTCTTCTCCAATAACTATGCACACATAATTTTTATTTGAATCACAATATCAGTTGCAGACTCAGAAGAAAAACATGCATTCTGGTAGGTCCTATTCACAGGTTGAAAGTTGATAACCAGGTTGAGGAACTTGATGTCAGTTTTCCTTGTTCTTCCATATTTTATTTTTAATTTACAGTTATATCTAAATTATTCACCCTTTAAAAAAGAAAAAAAAAAAAAAAAACCTTTTGTTTGTTGGTGATCTGGTCTAGGCATATAAGAAAACCTAGAACTAGAAAATTAAAAGATAAAAAATAAAAATAAAAAAGATGTATTTCTAAACTCTTTGATTGAGACACATTTCTTGGGGAGTTTTGCCTAAGCTGATCCGTGTAGTTCCAAAATGGTGGATTCTAAGGTGGGACATTTGTTCGTAGGAGCCACAGTATGCAAATGTAGAGTACATCCTAAATTTTAAGGCCTAAACAGAGACACAGGGTCAAGAAAAGCTTACATCCGTTAGTAGAAATGCTCAGATTCTTGGTATAGATGTTAGAATTTGTTGTCTAGGTCTTCACTGACTTTTATAGGTGGAAGAGTAACATTGCAGAAAACACCTATTCAACACTAGGAAAACAAGGGAATTATTTATTTCACTGACAATGACAGCAGCTGATACTCCTTAGTGGTTTGTGAGACGTGCGGTTACAACATGCTGCTTGCCTTCTTCAATAAGGTGATTTGAAGGCTGGGTTAGCAACCCAGCAAGGTATACAAATAAAGTTTGTTGATCCAAACGTATTTGTTTGTTTCCTGTACAGCTTTCCAAACTTTACAAATAAACCTTGCAACCAATATTTTCAACCCAGACTAGCTATGTTAAAGGCCCATACTACTGTGTTGGTGAAGGTTTGTCTCATTCTGAGGGGATGTAGGGTGTTATTTTTATTATTTTCTTCCCTGTTTCCGACCCTTCTTTCTTCACAAAAAAGTCTTCAGACAGAGTATGTGCAGGGTACATCCGAAAGAAATGAGTAAGGGATGGGCCAGCAGTGGTGCTCCAGAAGAGAACTCTGCACAGCTGGCTGTCATGCTATGGAGTTGTGTCCTGTGAGGGAACAAATCATGCTTCTCACCTTGCTGCTAGCATGGGGCAAAATAGGAAAAATGACATGGAGGAAACCTCATGGTGATATTCCCCAGAGCTCCCTTGAGGGAGAGGGGAGCTCAAGGGAAGGGGTGCTTTGGAGCAGTATGATTAAGCAAATGTAATCCAAATGAATGAAATGTAAATCTCAGAGGAAGTTTATACAGTTTATTCAGGATTGTGGTGCCAGTTTTACAAAGGGATTTTACGGCAGCTGGACTCTTGAAGTTCTTACAAATACTTAAGTTCTAATGTAAAATCCACATGAGATTTAGTGGCTGAGAGAAATTTTGGGAGGTTTGCCAAGCACCTTCTGTTGGGTTGTTCCTAAACTTGCACAGCTCTATGTCCTAAAACAAGCGAACAATTACTTCAGAATGTATTCTCCCAATATTCCATAGATTTCAGTAATGTTGCATTCCAGGATCCATTTGATGATGCAAACTTACAGCCATTGAAATATTTACTCAATGGAAAAAAAGAAAAAAAAAAATCAATACATAAAGGTTGACAGAGCAGAAATCAAAAGAGAGACACACCGTGTGGTCAAAGAACGTAAGTCTGGTCCACATACCACCCTGCAAAGTCTTCTGCTCTTAGAAGAGGCTAATTCAGCATTTAAGTTTCCAACCAAGAAAGGGGTCTGCTCCCTCTAGTCAGTTGCAGAGTTTTGCACATCTAGCAAAATTTTATGTGATAAATAAAACTTTTGCTGTTTTGCATCTAAAAGATCATAATCACTGTTTCCACCATGGCCACCCAGTGCTCTCATGAGCTGCTTATGCCCTAGGAAACAGGCTTGGTTATAATTAACAAAAGAAACGGGTGACTTATTTTTAAAGATGTCTTCCCCTTGCTGATAATCTGGTTTTCATGAACTGCAGCTGCTCCAGTTTTGGAATCATTGATCTGTCATGTGCACAGAGACACAGTTCTTTCCACAAAAAGCACATAAAAAGATAAAGCAATCAAATAATTTCCTTTTCAAAACATGATCCATGCTCTTGGAATTGCTTGTGAGTATCTCAGGTGGTACCGTTCAGGCAAACTCACAAATAAATTGGCTTTTACTCTGTTTAGCACAGGCAATAATTCCTTTTTAGGGTACTTCATTTTCATTTAGTCTCTAGTTCAATTCTATGCTGACACTTTGCATTAATGCAGCCATGTGTTAATTGAACATAAACCACAATATAAATGCAACATTTCTGTCCTGAAATTAATAACCATCATTTGTAGACCACATCATGTATTTTATTGTAGGAATAATTTACTGATAGGGTATTTTATGCTTAGCAGTGATTAAGAAACTGTGCAATTTACAACAGAAACAAACGGAGCCATATAAAATGGGTAATAAAATGTGTGTGCATGTATATAAATTTGTTTATATGAAACACAAATTAAAAATTTAAATGGTTCTGTAATATAAGGCAAAGTAGAAAGGGCTTTTCATATTATTATCCTTCAAATTGATATGCAAACAAATAAAAGATCCAGATTTACAGGAGGATTTGTTTTATATAAAAACAAACCCTTTCACTAGAAGGAAGCATCTGTTTCAGCCATTAATAACATGTGTAATGTATACGCTGCTTTGAACTAAACATTTCCATTATAACTGAAAGCCCATTTACAGAGACAGAAGCAGTGCCTGAGTGTGATCAGTCATAGTGTCACCCTAGCATACGACTGCTGCTGCAGAGCAGGAGCTTGGGCATATGCTTTCCCAAAAGCCTCTAATGTCAATCTCAAGCAGTAAAGGGGAAACATTAAGTGCACCTTGCCACCATTAATGTGGAAAGTAGCGTTAAGTCCCTATGATTTGCTTGGTAAGTTGCATTTAGTGCTGGATCATGTTTATAAAAATTAAACTGCTGCACCAAAACTAATGCAAAAGCTATATTCTTGGTTTATGGCTTATTAGCAGTTCTCTGTGTTTTCTCCTGACAGCACAAAATACAATCCTTCCCGCTCTCTCTCAACCTTCCCCACCTCCCACCCCACAAATTCTCCTTGTTAAATGTTTGAGAAAAAAAAAAAAAACAACTTTTTTTTTTTTTTTTTTTCCAATGAA